TTATTTTCCAAACTAAAATCAGTGCAGAGTTCCAGTTGAGAGATGAAGTCCTTGTGTCTTTGGTACGGACCAACATGTGGTCAAGGAAGTACGGAAGGTGAGGGTGTTCGCTTCCACATTGGGTGGTGGGTGCTACATCTTCTTTATGATTTCTTCTCTGGAACATCAATACACGTGCCTGCCTCCCCCACCCCCGCACCCCCATTGCCTTCCCAGACCCCCAGTGATGCACCAAACCCTAGTCAACTTTTTCAGCTCTGCTGAAAGTGTGGGCAGCAGACGCAGCCCCCCAGAGATGTTTCCCTTTCTCAGTCAACGCCTGTCTCTGCGTCTGTGCAGCCCGGGTGCAGTGGGTGCCCCTCCCCGGGGGGCCGCCCGGCGCCCTCTTCACGAGGACTCACTGCTTTCTGGCACAACACGCTGCCATCAACAGGACAACAGTTTCATTCGTGTCCCCCTCCCACAAATGTGGAGCTTTCGCCGTCCCCACCGGGCGCTCAGTGCTGCGGCTGCAGCTTCTGCCGTCTGAAGTGCGGCGGCCACGCTGGTGCCATTTTTTTTTCCTGCTTCACAATCTCATGGACAGAAGATTCCTTCTTACCCTAGGTCTTCGCCACCCCAGGATGGGAGTTTTCTTTCCTAATTGGACTGAGATGTCCTGCCTTTTCACCTAAAGGGTTCCATTCCCACAGTTTCTGAACTGCACTGTGGGACACTCTGAAGGGAAGTGAGAGCGGCTTGAACGTGGCCTTGGGGATGCGGTGCCGGTCCATCCACTAAGTGACTCTCAGGTGGGGAGAGCAACAGCCTGGATGTGGGGAGAAAGGGATGACTCACCTCCCGGACCCGGAGGAGCGGCACGGCGTGGGATTTCATCGTATGACTCAGAAGAGCGTGCAGGTTAAGACTTCTGAATTGTTTACTTCTGGAATTTTCCATTTAACATTTTCGGAGCCTGGCTGACCACGGCACGGTGAAACCGCGGAGAAGGGGGGACCGCTGTAATCTGAAAATGTCCCACCTGCTCCGTTTTTGTGGACAACACACGCTCAGTCTAAGGAAACAGTTTATATTTACAAGCCACCTGGTGAATCTACCCTAATACCGGGGGCTAAGTCACCCACGTTCAAGGACGTCTGTTATCTCAGGCTATTGTTGGCCACAGCAGCCCAAGTCTTGGCTCACAAGAACCGACTCCCTCGGAAGAGCTGAGCCCTCAGTGTGTCCTTGAGGCTTTGAAGGCGGGTCCTCACAGTGTCCTGAGTCTCGTCAGAGCTCCTTGGGGCCAGTCGTTACGGCATTTACACAGCGGACCCATAGAACCGCGTGTTCAAAGTGAGGAAGGCATCCAAGTCTCCACCCAGAAAGCCTCTGCTTGTGACCACTCAGCATTTCTGTGTCATTTTGTCCATGAAGTGGGTGCAAGCAGCCACGGGGAACGGAGCGAGCAGCAGCTGCGGTCTGCCTGAGAGGTGGCCCTGTCGCTGGACTGAGGCATAGGCAGGCGCACTGGTCCCGGACGGGGCGCCTCCTTTGCTTTCTGGGACCAGGGAGGGACTTCCCTCGCCACAGCAGTGACATGGTACTGCTGCCATATGTTGCAGCTGCACACTGTGTTTGAGGGGGTCTAGGAACTGAGGAGTCCCCACCCAAAAGGGCATTTTTAGGAACGTGTTATTTTTATTTTTATTGTTGACATTATTGCAGACGGCCCCATTTCCCTGCTTTGCCTGCTTGTCCCCGCCCCCTTGAGCCCCACCCCGGCCATCCCCACACTGTTGTTTGTGTCCACGAGTCATGCATATACATTCTTTGGCTAATCCTTCCCTTCTTTCATTCAGCCCCTCTCCCCGACGACTCCCCCCCCCCCCCCCCCGACAGCTGTCCGTCTGCTCCATGTGTCCACGGCTCTGGTTCCATTGTGCTCATCGGTGTATTTTGTTTGTTACATTCCACATGAGTGAGATCATGTGGCGTCTGTCTTTATCTGACCAGCTCATTACACTTAGCATAGCACTCTCCAGGTCCATCTGTGCTGTCACAACAGGTAAGGGCTCCCTCTTCAGGAACGTGTTTGAGACCCTGGTCCCTCTGCCCAGGTCTTGTCCTCAGTTAATAGAGAAGACGTCACCGCTGCAGGTCCCCACCACGGCCTGTGCCTCAAAAGGGCCCACAGTCACAGCAGATGAGGCAGGTCCTGAAATTCTTCCTTCCTCTTATGGGTAAATACATGTGGACATATATTTGGACTCCTTTCTTTCACGTTTTTACAAGAAGCAGAAGGGGGCTTCAAATGTATAGACATCGAGTCCTGTTCCATGGCTGTGCGCAATGATTCAGGTGTTTGTGAAAGGGGTTCGGAGCAGGGCGGGGTGGTTTTGTGTGAACCTGTGTGGGCGGCCACCGGAAGCATTGTCCCCGGGGACCATGAAATGACCACCCCATGTTTGGGACACACCCATCAGTCGATGATATCATCAAGTCTTCACCTCCGAACAGTCAGGGCTGTACTGAGCTAATGTAATCCAGGAACATTTTCACAGCAGGTAATGGCATCGCTTAGAAAAATGGACTTGAAACATTGAGAGATGCCTTTTCTCTTTTTCTGAATCATAGTGATGTTTTTATTTAAAAAAAATATTTCACTTTTACTTATTTTTTTAAAAAGGTTATTTATTTATTTTTTTAGAGAGGGGAAGGGAGAAAGAGGGAGAGAAACATCCATGTGCAGTTGTCTCTTGCGCGCCCCCTACTGGGGACTGGCCTGCAGCCCAGGCACGTGCCCTGACTGGAATAGAACTGGCGACCCTTTGGTTTGCAGGTCAGCGCTCAGTCCACTGAGCCACACCAGCCAGGGCATCATTTCTTCAATTTGCATTTTTTATCGAGCTGTACTCTATATAGAATACTGTGTAAGTCTAAGGTATATAACATATTGTAATTTGATTATCACCGTTGTGTTAGCAAACACTGCCATCATGTTACGAGGTCACCATTTCTTGTTTTGAGGTGAGAACATTCGAGTCCTATTCCCTTAGCAACTTTGAAGTCTGTAACACTGTTTGGAGAACGACCTCTATACCACGCTGCGCATGAATCCCCCAGGACTTTTCGGTCCTCAACGTCTCCCACCTCCCCTGCCCCAGCCCTCGAAACCCACCTTTCAGCCTTCTCCGTGTGTACAAGTCTGGCTTGCTCAGAATTCACGCAGAAGCCATGTGCTTCTTCTGCTGGCGTTCGCGCTCTGGCCTCTAGATGGGGCCAGAGAGTACCGTCCAAAAAACGGGCCAGGGGACATGGCCTAGAACTGAGTGACCCAGCCTATTATAGGGGTTATCGACACCCTGAGGAGAGGATGCGGAGGCCACACTGAGTTTAACCTACAGTGACTCAGCTGGGCAAGTGCAGGGCGTCATTGTCACCTTCTTTCTCGAAGCCCCAGGACGGCGTCAAGGCCCTTCCTCCTGGCGCTCGGGCTGTGAGGCTGCTAGGCCGCGAGGCCCAGCGCGTCTCGTTCTGATGGATGTCATAGCAAAGGGAATGCGATCGTTTTAAAAGCTGAAGCACAGAGGGCTCCACACTCACAGGGAAGCGTTTCAGCTCGTGAGAGCTTCACTTTAATGGGGATGTGAAAATGAGAACTGCGGAGCCGGGCCTCTCATTCGAGTGGGAACGGGGTTGGGACGTAAAGAATTGATCTGTTTCCACGCGCCGGGTGGAAGGGACCGGTTTCTGAGAACTGGGTGGGGCAGGCGCACATCCACTCTGCCCACAGCATCCACTCTGGATGCTCCGTCTCAGCTCTCAGCTAGTTTATGGAGAAAATGTAGGGTAAACAGAGCTGGGGAGCCCACGGCCAAGGCTTTCTGGAAGGTTCCACAATTCATCTGCTCTTCTCCCCAACCCCAAAGATGCTGACTCCTTGGGGCCCACAGCTGGCTTTGTGCTGGGTGTGTTCCCCCCACCCCTGGCGGCAAGCCCAGGTGTGAGGCACCTGACAGGTCAGAGGGCGGCTGCCAGGACCCGAGGTGGGTTCTGCGATGTCTCCCCAAGTGGCTGTCTTCCCGATTCGACTTCCTTTCTCTCTGAGTCACTCCCTCAGTTTGTCCAGATCTTCCTGGTGCAACTCCCCCGGGGGGCCCCCGCTCAAGTTGTGGGGCCTCCCTTGGTGGAACTGGATAAACCCAGGCTGTTCTCGTTTCCGGAAGGTTCGGCCACTCTTGTTAGGGTCTTACTGCAGGACCAACACATTGGGTCACACCGAACTCTGTGCCTTTGAGTATCAGATGGCAGGTGACTGGCCTTCACTGTTTGTGACCACAGCTGTGGTCACAGCTGTGGCTGGAAGTGCTGGTGCCGGCAATGAGTGCAGGGGCCCAGAGCGATGCCACGGACTCCGTCATTCCTGTCACCATTTAATGTCCACAGCACGGACGCTCCTAGTTGGGGGGGGGAGGGAGCACCTGTCACATCCCTTCGCCACTGCAGGTAACTCTGTCACAGTTTGAAGAGAGTTGGTGTTGTCGAACCAGGGAGGGGTGGACCTGGGCATCATGTCCGGTGGATGGATGGCCGGCCCAGAGCACCACGCTCTCCGGATGCTCAGCAATGCAAGCTTATGGCCACGAAAACAGTCTCCTCGATGCAAGAGATCATTCTCTCCCTCCCTCCACTCCCGCTCACCATATTACTCCCTAGTTTCTCTATCTTGAGAAGAATTTCTAAGAAATAATTAATGCAAGTTTAGGCCTGGCTGGTGTGGCTCACTGGATTGAGTGCTGGCCTGCAAACCAAAGGGTTGCTGGTTTGATTCCCAGTCAGGGCACATGCCTGAGTTGGGAGCCAGGTCCCCAGTAGGGGGCGCACAAGAGGCAACCACACATTGATGTTTCTCTCTCTTTCTCCCTCCTTTCCTTCTGTCTAAAAATGAATAAATTAAATCTGTTTAAATAAGAAATAATTAATGCACGTTTGAAACCTTCTGCTTCTCTGTTCAAAAGCTTTTCACAGATGCCGACCAGTGCAGTGAAAGATGAGACCAACGACAACAGCACCATCTTCACCAGGATCCTGGACGGGCTTCTGGACGGTTACGACAACCGGCTGCGGCCGGGGCTCGGAGGTGCGTGTCCCCCTCCTCCCGGCCCCGGGGCAGCGCCCTCGGCCTCAGCTCCTGGCTGCCCTGAAGCAGAGGAGACCCCGCCGACGGCCATGGCCACGGCTCCTGAATCCCCGAGTGCCACGGTCACCATGCGGGAGGCTGGGGGTCACGGTCCCTGCAAGGCCCCCTCCCCCCAGACCATCCTGATGCCCTTTCTGGTTCACTGAAGGAGGAACCAGTTCTTAGGTGTTATAGAAGCCTCACCCCGGGTTAAGAAATATTTTGTAATTGAGTTGACAGAGAGAGAAACATCAATTTGCTGTTCCATTTATTGATGCATTCATTGGTCGGTTCTTGTAGGTGCCATGACTTGGAATCGAACCTGAAACCTTGGCATATTGGCGTGATGCTCAACCCTCTGAGCTACCCAGCCATGGCTATATTATGGCCCCAGTGGAAATATTAAACGTAATATAGAAAGATGTAAACACACTGACGTTGAACAGTGGGCCTCACTGTTTAATACCGCGTTTAATTTTTTTCACTAGGGCCATAATCGTAGCACGTACTTGGACCCTCCCACAGTTGACGATAAACAAATAGCAGAGCGTGTTTCGGGGGCCTAGTCCACACAGCCTGATTTTGTGCTGAATGTTTCTAGGCAGGTGCAATGCCCTCGCCTCAGCTGATAGAGGCGGCGGTTTTGAACTTGCTCCAGTAGGTGAGTTAGAGACCCACCCACACCAACTACATTCTCCAAGGAGAGGCTTAGCTCTCCATTATCTGCATTTTCAGCAGGGAGAGTCACTTAAAGCATCAATGGCCATTCTCTGCATTTGGGGCAAGGGCAAATCGACACGGCCGCTAGGCACCGACTTACGTCTCCCTCTGTGTTACGCTGTGTCCCTGGGTCCAGCGGCCCCACCCCTCTGAACACACCCCCAGGGACCGAAGCCTCTGGAGACGCATCGGTTCCCCCGGCACAGGTTCCAGTCCTGTGAGGCTGGACCGAGGAATCAGAGCCAGGGGGCTCTGCAGGGCCGGCACCTCGGTGCACAGACAGGCCCTGGAAACGCGCAGCATCGTGCCAACACGGGCGCGCACGCAAACGCGCACCGTGTGCAGAGAGGATTCCCACCAGCGGGGCCCTGACTGGGTGACGGCCCCACCCAGCAGCTGGGCTCGGGAGGAGTGGGCGGCACTGCTCCCAGAACGGGGGCCCGGTTCGCTGCCACAGGGGGCCACAGGCTCCGGGCTTTCCCAGTGAATACGTGTCTGCCTCCTCGGTTATTAGCGGCTTTTATGGCTTCGTGCATTTTCCATCGTTGTGATTGAAATAGTTTCCCGCGATAGCAATTTCTAACCGTTCGAACTGCCCAGTAAGGTGAGCGGGTCCTTCTTCCCAGAGCCGTCGCCGCTCAGGCCGTGCTGTGCTCGGCCCTCAGACACCTTTTCCCGGACGCCTGGGGCTGCGGCTTTGGCAGGAGTGTCTGCTCCCCACAAGGGTGGATTGTGAAACTTTAAAACAAAAAAATACAGCTGTTTATGGGAGAGCAGGGTAGTGCGCTGTGAGGTTGGGAGTATTTTCCGGACGTAGCCAGGAAGAAGCTGGGCTCGGGAGCGATGACAAATGCCGGGCCCTGCAGCCAGGACCCAGCGCGCCCTGCCCACGGGGACCCCCGCGCCCCTCTCCAGAGATGACGGGCGCTTCCTCTCACTCACGGCTGGAGCAGCACGTTGCACTCGGTGGGTGCCAAGACCTCCGAACTTAGCAAACGCACTGCAAAAGCCCTGCAGTGGCCGAGGGCGAAGTCAGTCTCTAGACTGAGGACGTGGGGGCGGGGACGTGGCCTGGGGGTCGGCTGGGCGCCCAGGAGGGAACCTGTGTGTCTTTCAGAGCGCGTCACCCAGGTGAGGACCGACATCTACGTCACCAGCTTCGGCCCGGTGTCCGACACGGAGATGGTAGGTCCCCGGGGCTGGGCGCCACCAGATCTTCCCGAATAAAAACCCAAAGACCTGGGAAAGGGGTCCCTTCCCGCCCCGCTGCGACCTCAGCTGCTTGTCTCCCTTCGCCCTAGGAATACACCATCGACGTGTTCTTCCGACAAAGCTGGAAGGACGAGCGCCTGCGCTTCCAGGGGCCGATGCAGCGCCTCCCGCTCAACAACCTGCTGGCCAGCAAGATCTGGACGCCGGACACGTTCTTCCACAACGGGAAGAAGTCCATCGCGCACAACATGACGACGCCCAACAAGCTGCTGCGCCTGGAGGACGACGGCACCCTGCTCTACACCATGCGGTGCGGGCGGCGCGCGCGGGGCCGCGGGGCGCAGCGCGGGGCGCGGTGCTGGGCAGGGCGCGGGAGGGCCGCGGGGGCCAGCGCGCAGCGGACACGGCAAGGACCCTACAGCCTGCGGGTTTGGAGGACTGGGGGTGTGCGTGTGTGTGTGTGTGTGTGTGTGTGTGTGTGTGTGTGTTGGCTATTTCTTTTTACCCTTCCACCCGCCGTACTAATAATAGTAATGTCCGCAGCTATTATCTCGCTGGCCGTTCTGGTTCACAGCTTCCGTTGTCCACCCTTGGTTCTTTGGTTCAAGACCAGAGCATCTTGCAAATACCGACCCAGATCGTGCAAGTCAGGGAACATTTATTTTATAAAGATGTCATTGAAAAAAACCAGGGAGAGCTCCTTGGGGGTCTCCTGAAAGTTTAAAAGCCCGTGTCTCGTATACTTGGACGGCATTCCAATGCCGAGGGCGCAGTTCAGTGTTTCTCGCTTAAATTGGTCATCAGTCACTTTTTTATTCTGCATTATTCATTGCATCGGAGCAGATCAATACACCGACCCTCGAGAAAGGCTCCATTACAGCCTTTTAGTTTCCACGGTGGGCCTAGGCTAACGTCGAAAAAGATTTTTAAATAATAAAAAAAAATTAAAGAGTGCTAAAGCCAAGTTTGTTTTAAGCCCAATACATTTGCGTCGATGTGGTTGGAGCGTCTGCCGCCGCCTTCTGGTGCTTCCCAGGGCGTTTCATAGGCAGAAGGTGCCGCGGCATTGATGCCGCGGTCCCCAGGACGCGCTGATGCTTCGACACCTGTTGGGAACCTGTTTGACACCAGGACTCAGTTGTTCTTCTAACGACCCGACTAGGATTCCGACCGATGAGCGCGTGACCCCCACGGGGTGTTGCATTCCCCAGTCTCTCTGATCCCCGACCTTGGCCTTGCCCCTGGCTCACCTGCAGATGCAGACCCGAGCTGTGAGCGCCACCTCGGTGCTGGGACAGTGGCCGCCCCACTGGAAAGCCGCGGACTACGGCGAGGACCGGATTTTGGCCCTCGGTGCTCGTTCGGTGCGGCGAATGGGAGTGCGCTTTGCTCAGCCCCGAGAGTGAGGGCGCCTGTGGAGCTGATGAGTCCGGGTCTTGGAGGAAGCAGAGGGGTCCACGCGGGGTTGGGACGGATGATGGACCCCATCGTGTTGGGCTTTGCGCCTGCGTTCTGCCAGCAGAATAAAGATAGGCCCAGTCCCCCTGCCTTCGCACCTGGTCCCTGTCCCTGAGGGACAATAGCTGCCTGCGTAGCACAAGACACTGACTGGCATGCTTTCATCTGACTCCTCGCTGCATGGACAGGGCGGTGAGGTACGACCCATGTTTATTTATTTTATTTTTTTAAAATCTTATTTATTTATTTTTGGGTAGGGAGAAAGAGAGGGAGAGAAGCATCAACGTGTGGCTGCCTCTGGCACACCCCCTACTGGGGACCTGGCCCACAACCCAGGCATGTGCCGTGCCTGGGAATCGAACCCGTGACCCTTTGATTCCCAGACCGGTGCTCAGTCCACTGAGCCCCACCAGCCAGGGCCGGGCCATTGTTGAGAAGGAGAAGGGCTGCAAAGGAGCGTCTCCTTCAGGGTCGGTGTCCCAGGCACCTCCACAAACAGAACCCTCAGCCTCAGCCAGCCCGGCCAGCTAGGTGACCCCGCCCCCTTAACCAGCAAAGACAGCAGGGCTCAGTCCCCTGCTAGTGATGGGGCGGCAGGAGCTTCAGCTCAGCCCCGGGCGACGCCCTTGTTTAATCCACCACAGTGGAGAACCGCAGGGACGTGGCACCTGCAGGTGTGCAGTGAGCGGCCTTCTCCCTGTCCAAGTGTCACTCCAGGAGGAAGGTGGTGACAGCCAGGGCAACCTGTCAGCAGTAATTGGTCCTTGTAGGTGTCAAGGAGATATGCTAATGGGGGCCCAGGCGATACTGGCTTCTCCGTGCAGAGTGGAAACGGCGCCCCTGGAAAGTGTTATGCGCTCTGATGTGGCGGACCTGCAGCTCTAGTGCGGAGGCTTTTCATCCATCGATTTGCACAGATGGTGATTGGCACCAGAAGTGCCCGTGAGAGGAGAAGTCACATGGCAAGCAGCGTCCAGCGCCCTGGGCTCCAGGGGTCCAGCCCTTCCTTTTTCTAAGTTTTTGTTTTTATTAATTTTAGAGAGAACGGAAGGGAGAGAAAAAACATTGATTTGCTGTTCCACTCACCGATGCACTCGTTGGTTGATTCTTGCAGTGCCCTGATCTGGGATCAAACCCACAACCTTGGCCTATGGGTTCAAGGGTCTAACCACCTGAGCTACCCGACCAGGGCCACCAATTGTTGCCTTTTTCTGGCTAGAATTTTTGGTCACTGTCGCAGAGCCGACAGTTTCAATCCCACGGCCCTGGAGCCCGGGCGGCTGCGCGTCTCAGGGCGCGCGCCAAACCAGGTGACGCGTGTTCCTTTGGGAGCAGGCGGGCTGGGGGCAGCGCTCCGCACCCCGCGAAGGTGCTGCCCCGCGTCCCTGCGCAGCGAGGGCCGCCGAGGGCGCACGCCCAGGTCTCCGGGCGGAAGGGCAGGTGTCTCCTAGTCCCTTGGAAACCACAGCCGGTGACGAGGCGAGCTCCGCCAGACCCACCCCTGCACCGCAGGCTCCGCACTGTCGCTCTGGCACAAGCTGTAGTCCCTCTGCGAGTCTGATTTTGGCTCGGGCGTGTTTTTGTGACGGCTTACACTCCGTTTAGGCTTCCATTCATCGTGCGTGGAAAACACTGCTTTAACTGACTGAAGTTCAGGTCCGGACTCTCTCATTTAGTCTCCAGAAGTTTCTGGTCACCTTGATTCAATCTCGTAGAGCCACCTTTTGTTGTTGCTATTTTTGCCATTTTTAAACTGTTTTCCGATACCGTTTAGCTGCGGCGTCCGAGGAGGTTTCTCATTTTGAAAGTTGATAGTGTATCGCGTATTCTCCGAGTGGCCACTGGGGGGCAGCACAGGAACACTTTGGCACAGAGGGGCGGGCTGCATTCCTTACCTCATGGGATAAGTAACTTTTTATTTATTTACTTATTTAATTGTTGTTCAAGAACAGTTTTCTGTCTTTTACTTCCATCCCAGCCGACCCCCAGCCCTCCCTGTCTCCCCCCCCATACCCATCCCCCCTAGTTTTTGTCCATGTTTCCTTTATACTCGTTCCTTTAAACCCTTTTCCCCTGAAGTAACTTTCTTGAAGGAAATCATATATATTATACATGTTTGATTTAGGGGCGATCTACTTGAAATAATCTATACGTATGTAACTAGAAGTTTTTAACTAGTACATATAAGCATCTTTATCTTTATCTGTATCTATATTTAAAGCTATTCATACACACACCATTGTCAGTTAAAAACGACACCAACAGATATATTGGCTAAGTATTGCCATTTGAAAGATCATATTTATTTTAACAAGAATTGACAAGAATCAAAATTTGACAAGAATCAAAATATTTGACTTTTTTATTTTTTATTGATGACACGATTTAAAAATGTGTAAAACACAGAAAATCACCGAGTGTGAAATACGGTTATGGCGGCAACACACCAGAGAGAGTCGGTGCCAATGGCTCGGCGTGTTTCCTTACACATGTTCGTGCGTGGGCACGTGCATGTACCGACTGTACATGTGTGTATGAGAGTGTCTGCACCTGCTGTCCTGTAGTACAGGGGTGTCATTCTCTGAAAACTGTTCTGTAAGCAGCTTTATCATTGAACACATGTTAAAACCTTTCACCTGTCATTCAATACCGGCTCAGGGTTTTGTGATCACGTGATCAGCCATCACGTGACTGAGCTCACGTCATTTCCATTTATTTCCTTGTGTGAGGAACAACTGTCATTCAAGCACAAAATTATGTCTTTGGATAAATTCCAGGCATCGGCCAATGAGGCTTTCAACACGTCTTGGCGAATTGTTTTCTAGAAGAATGGTAGCAATTTCACTCCCACTAACGGGAAGTACAGATGGTCTGTTACTTCCTCCCTGGCGCTGTAGTACGAGAGTCGAAAGAAAGTATCAGCCTGTTTTGCTATGTGAGATGTGATTAGCAAGCCATCTATTTTAAAAAAAAAAGTGTGTGTAACACTTTTTCCTCTCAGGGTTTCTAGTAGCATCAGCTCCTTGCTTTCCCTCCTGGAAAGCACCTCACGAAACATCCTGAACCCTGACTTGGCTGACAATGTCCTTTGTTCCTAAATGACGGGACATGTCACCCCCCACACTTTGCCCCTTGAAAACCCACACTTCTCCAAGATGTCCTCCTGAACTCTCCTGTCCTCTGTCACCTGCTGTGACCCTGACCCAGCTCTGTGTCCCGGGACTTGGCTCCAAGCACTTGCTACGCTGCATGTAGTTGAACTTGAGCATCTTTGGAAGGAGACAGTGTGTTGGTCAGGTGGGATTCTGGGTAATGAATTCCCGAGGGTGGAGGGAATCCTCCCGGTGGCCGGCCCGGCCGTCAGAAGGAACTGCAGGTTCCTGGATGAATGAACGGCAATGGAATGAATGAGACAGACTTTCCTCAACCACGGCCACCTCTCTGCTCAGACCTTAGTTTGAGGGACTGAGAAGGGACACCTAGAAAATGTTTCTTTCCCTACGTACTTCATGCTTAAGGTCCTGCCAGGCTTATAAAGAGTCAAGGCTATGTTCGGCTAGTAAACCACACGTGCAGGAGACAAATGAAGGCATTTTGATACAGACTTCTTGCCTATTTGGTTTGAAAAAAAAAAAAGACTAGAATTAACCCCGGGCCAATTCAATCTAGTCAGCCTGGGTTTTTGGACTATTGGACACAAAACCTCAGCCTCGGCACATGGGCCATCTCCAACATGTTTTGGTCACCTTAAAAAAAATTTTTAATCCCCACCCAAAGACACCTTTTCATTGCTGTCAGGGAGAGAGAGAAGCATCAACTGGTTGCCTCCCATACGTACTTGAACCAGGGATT